CCGCAGCGATTCTGCGTTTCTACCTTGCATGCATCTCGCACTCGCCCGAACCTACCGTAAGATTCGGGCCACTTGGGGGGCGATTTGTAGACTTCGTAGGCCCCCTTTTGCGCTGCAAACTTCTGTCGTCGCTTAGTTAGGGGGTCTACTATTAAATTACTATCAGAGCCAGGTACCCTCAATCTGGTGGGACGCTGCCTTTAGGCGAGGCGTGCGCGGGATCCGAGCCGCAAGAGGATCAGTTTGTACAATACGCGAAATTTTCTGTTCAAACAAGTTCAACATATTGAACATATTCATATTCATTATTTTCTATCCTACAATTTCTTTTCAACATAACAACATTACGTTCAGTCACAAATCTGGGTTCCATAAGTGTAGAGATCTTCTCAGTTCGCATGAAAACCCATCTTACCACATCCATTCTTCAATCATCATGTAAAACGTAATGCTGAGAGTGACTCTAAACAAAGATTATTATAGAAAGAATGACATTGAGCATAATCAAGAAATACTAATCTTTTTATTCACTCAATTCCTAGTTGGTATGTATGCTAATGCAAGTTCAGCACAATTCCATTTGTTGCTTTCTCTTGCTTGCAACATTCACAATATTCTTGCTGCTCAGGGGTCGCTTACAAGAATTTCTTGCGCAGAAGTCGTGTCCTGCTCATTCCAGCTTTTCATCAGTTCCATTAGTCATCACGTGTGCCCAGCATAAGGTTTTTCTAGAGGACGTTCTGCTTTGCCAGCCATTCACTTCAGGATTCACTGAATTTCTCTTTTCATTATGCGACCGGCCCATTGGAGTTCCGCTAAAGATCATGGGTCACGAGGAGGGCTGTTTTTATTTTTAAATTGCGAAGTACAACGAGCTGGTGAATGCTTTTGTTGTATCGCCTTGAACTTCAATTAGTTTAGCGCTCTGCTGGTGGAGCTCCCAAGAGCCTTTAACTTTATCACGTAGGATAAAAAGGAAAAGCATAGAGAAAACCGTCAAATCGAGTAAATTAGCTAAAATGCGGGATCCTTTGGGCTCGTCGGTACAATTTTTAGTGCAGAAGAGGCTTATTCTGTTTTTGCAAGTATTCATCATTTTCAAATGTATTCACGTGTATTAGGTTGTTGCATAAGTTCTGTCCGATTTGAATTTTTTGAGTTCAGTCATCACTACTTTGAAAGTCAAAGTCAACTTTTTTCCAAAATCTCAGTTTCCTTGTGTTGAGCAATTTCTTGGCTATTAGAACATATTAGAACCTGCGAAAATCCTTGTTAAGGAAGAAGCAAAAACTTAAATACTTCACTACGTTTTCCTTCAAAGTTGTCTTTTTCGACATGGCAATGCTCCCTTATGAGAAGTGGTAGGCATCTTATCTAACAATGGACAGATAGAGAAATTCTCGTAGATTATTTTGCACCATGAAAGAGCCCATAGGGTCTGCGCTGCCGAGAGATTTTTTTGACCGAACAAAAAATTAGCCACTTTTTCCTCGCTTTAGCGCATGTGTGTATGCCTATTTACGAGTTATGCAAATTTTACAATTGACGTGAGCGGAAAGGAATTGGTGGATGGGCTCTGCTAGCTCTTGCTTTGCGCTAGCACCTGCAACTTTGAAGTCGTCGATTACTTCTATTCGCAGAAAGTTGTAGCCTGTAAAACATCTATACAGAAAATTGCTGTTCGACGACAAATTTCACTAGCAAGACATTTTCTTCACGAAACCGAACTTAAGCATATATTAGCCTTCTACACCCTTATTCCGCAGCCAATGAAAGAACTTGACTTGAAGGGCGCATTGTGGGGATTTCTTCGCAAGAAATATTTCTAGGGTGAGAACGTACCTCGGCCACTTGGAGATTTTGGGCCTGAAAACTCCTTACACTAAGAAATTTATTGAAATTTGATATGCTTTAGAAAGCGCAAGAAAAGCACTTTCTCATGATACTAACAATACCTCATTAGAAATGAAATTCTCTTAGAACAGCTACTTCAAACATGAGGCAAAAAAGATTGGACAGAACTTATGCAAAACCTAATACATTAATATGCCTCTCATTCCATCCAAGTGACTTCATCGCGTACTTTAGGCGTTGAATCGGAATAAATGTAACACATGCTGCGCATTTCGATTTCGACAGTCTCCACTTATCTTGCGCAATTTGTTATTCACTCAACCGTGCTTGAAGGCAGCGTCCCTCAAAATCATGGGTGCCGGGATTTTACAGTATTCCAATTATAGATCCTCCAGATAGTCTATCAGTGTAGTCTGGACCTAAATAGCTCTTCTGGAAGGCCCAGAATTCCTCCGGAAGCCTTCCGGACCCCGCCCACTTCTCATACGTACTTTTGAGCGAACTTGGACACGGAGAGCTTCGAAAAAAGCTCATATTTGCCATTCTCGAGCGCTGAAAAGCTCAGATACGGCTTCAGCATGGCGAGAAAGTTCCGAAGAGGTGAAAAAGCAGAGAGCAATCTTGCCGCGACACTGCCTTCAAAGACAGGGGTAGATTATGACCAGCAACTATCCAGTCGTTGCTTGTCAGTCACTTCTGCACCCTGCCTACTTAAAAAGAGCGCATATATATTGTTAGTAAGTCCTTCTTTCTGAATCAATTTAAATAACCGCTTGAAAATGGTACATTGGCCAGAAAATTGATAATAAATTAAAGGCTACCACATCCAAAAATCCGGACCACCCTCATTTGGAACTCAAGTCTAGGCTACCATACGTTTGAAAACGACGACACTCACCTGGCTTTTGCTATGCATTAGTTGAAATATGAGAACCAAACGAAACCACGCTACTGTACCTGGCAATCGTCTCACCATAGGGGTGGCTGCCGAAGCAGCGATTGAAAACTAAATGGCAACACACTCACGCTGAAATAAAATATGCCAAGACTTGCAAAGCGATATTAGTGAAGCCATCATGCTCAAATAAAGTAAGCAGCGAGTTGCAAAGCTAACACAAAAGCACTCTGGGTTAGGTAAGCAAACAAAGGATGGCGTACTTCTTTCACAAGAAACTATTGGGTCGTAGAGAAAGTGCACTTGCGAAAATTTTTTTCCAGTCGCTATAACTTCAAGCAGATTGATTCTTTTTCAAAGCCACAAACTTCATTGCAAAGACAATTTGTCCACAACATATATTTGTCTTGCTGGCCACGCGCAGAAAGGAAAAAGATCGTCGCGAAGAGTAGCCTATTTGTGCAGAATTATCTCGGGCAGGATGAGAGCTGGAAAGCCCAGATGCTGTAGTCATATAGAAGTGTGCTGGGGCTGTTATAAGAACCCTACATGTTTTTGAAGGACCACCTGCAAAAAAATTTTCCCAGAAAGTTTGAAAAATCGACCATTTTTTGCCCCAAAATGCACCATTTTCCGAGTGAGTTTGAAGCCTTTTAGTTCTGCACATAAAGGACCAAATCTTCGATTACTGGTAAAATTGGTGGAGTAATCCTTGCACATCTTTTAGACCTATCAACCAGGCGTGGCGATCGCCGCAGAAGTTACGCCAGCTGCGAAGTTGCAGTCAGGGGCAAGTTCAACAGCTTGTGATTTTTGAGCGCAAATCGCGATCTTTGAATGCATCTGCAGGTCAGAAGCTAACAGGCTTCTTAATCAGATCACTCATGATTTGGACGAATTTTTTAAATGCAAATGCACAAAAAAAACTGCCGTAGGAAGAAAAACTGTGAAATTTTTGTGGTTGGCAAGGTTTCTCTTCTTGATGTGCAGATCAAACATGTCTTGGTCTTGGCATCGATAAAAGTCGGAAGACGTATTGAGAACTTCAGGTTTTCCTTTACTGAAGAGTATAAAAAACTTGGTGTCTAAATTCCGACCGAGCGCTGAAAAAATGCGTTTGAAAATGAAATTTTCAAAAGTGCCCGGAAACTTCCTTTACAACCTATTTAATAATAGCTTATAGTGCTCGAGCAGCGGGACCTTCCTTGATACGAGGGCCATTTCAAAGTAGTCTCACCATGGAAATGAAACAAACAGTTTGATTAACTGAATAATGTTGTAGATTCAATCAGCGAGGGATAAAGCCCTTAGAACATTAAAGATTTTGGTTGAAAATTGGAAACAGGTTCGTTAACCTGAACATGAAAAGCAGTCGCAAAGAACTCGTGGGTGAGGTTGAAAAAATCGACAAAGAAACTCAGTTCAATGGAAATCGCTGCATGTGGCATGATGTACGTGCTAGAAGCACGACTGAATGAAGCTGAAAGAGAAGAGAATAACGAGAAAAGCGGATATGCCAAGCACGGAAACTGAATACTTAGTGAAATAGCCATAAAGGTATAAGCAGCGGAGAGGAAAGAAATCTCCCCCAATGCAAACGAATGTCTGTTTGAAGACATGTCAGTAAATAGTGTCACTGTATTAAAAGATCTAATATTTGGACTCCGGAGCTAAAGCAACTCAAGGTGCCAACGTTTGGATGAAGAGGAGTTCCCAGAATTTTATGCTGATGTGAAAACAGCCCAAAATTCCGGGAATCCCCTTCCAAAACTCGGGGCAGCTAAAACCGTTCAAGCTGGACGCTTTTTTTTGGGGGGGGGGGGGGAGGGGGAGGGGGAAAGTAAAGCGAATATATGAATAATCTCGTAATCTGCCAATTTGGCACATACTTTAGAAGACGACACTATTTCGAATCGTAATATTTGACTTATTAATGTCTCAATATCATGTGAGTGAAGTTTTTGCAAAGGGGGGAGGGTGGAGGATAAAAGTCAAAGGAGACTTTGTAAGAATTCTTCAAAATCAAAGAGGCCTTTGTTTCAAAATTCTCCTGATTCCAACTGGTGCCGAGTGCTCGGTAGCTCTGACTTGACAACTCTACTGGATTTCATCGTGTTTTTGATGAAATTTGGGATTCTGTGGCACATAAATTTACTGCTGTACTCAAGCCTTGAAGTTATAAGAATCATTAAGAGATAAAACACTTCATGAAAAGTTTATTACTCGCTCGATTTGGTAGAGTAGTGCACACTTAAGCTTTAACGAATGCTGCATCTGAAAATTCAAGATAATCGTGGGAGTGAGAGATGATCGTCTCCGCTACTAACTTGCTTCCACAGGCTTCACAGGTTTTGGCAAGATCTGCGGTTGAACATCCGCGGTCTTGATCTCCAAGTGTGTTCTCTCTTTTTGTCCCTTTTGCCATCCACGACTGGGTTTCCTGTCTCGACGGAAACCGAAAGATCCCATCATCCTTTTAGAACCATTTCGTCTTCCGAATTTTGGTTTTGGAACAAATTGCTGGAAGATGGCCTTCAGAACGTTGTAAACCTGGAAATATACATTTAGATCACTTTGGGTTTCCAGATTCGCGACACACTCACCTTTGGATTCTCCTCTTTCAGCTTGCGGAGCGCTTCAAGTTTTTCCTTGCGGCTCAGTGCCTTGTCGTCCAGGATTGCAGACTGCTTATCCAAAGCGCCGTTCAAATCTTGGATGAGCTTGACCATTTTTTCCCGCACTTCCTTTTTTATTTCCTCTCTTTTCTTCTCGAGTTCCGCCTGAAATGTTATATTTGAGATGAGCATAATCAAGTTCAAGCCTTTACTCAAAACTTGCCTTTTCTTCCTCGCTGAGATTGTCAAATTTTTTGTCAAAAAATCTTCGTCTTGGTGGCACCATTCCTTTGAATGGTCTTCCTGCCTCTCCCGGCTGGAACATGCTCTACGTCTCTTGCTTATAGAGGAGGTTCAGCATCTGCACTTGCCTTTTTTATTTCGGGGAGAGCCTGAGGAGGCTGAGGAGTAGGTTCTTCGCAAAGTGCGAAATCGAGTAGGACGACAAACACGAGAATGCTGTTCATTCTAAAAGCTATTTACTCATAAAACAACTCAATACTACAAATTATATATCAGAGGAATGGAAAGCTGATAAGCTGATGGTGTGTGCTATCGGTAGCGGGCTTATATAGGTCTTCCAAATCTGAACCCTCACAATTTGAATACCGATAAAAATATATTTGTGAGAAAATGAGCCATCAACTACCAGCGAAGACAATCTTGATGCTCGAAATACTTGGTTTTTCCGACTACGCCGTGAAATACGCCTGATTTCCCTTTGAAAATTCGAGTTTATAGCTTTGATCCCCAATGTCTGTAATTTATTCCTGTAATGCCATAATAAAGCATCGTTGGAAATTGCAAATTTGTTACAGAATCGCACCATATAATTGCATTTCGATGTCGTTTGTATAATTTTGTGATCAAAAAATGATATGTGATATCTGGTGTTGATCTTGATATAGCATAATATTAAACTAAATTTTATCCCCTCCATCCATCCCACAGTTATAATTGTGTCCATTGTACCTTCACCAAGCACTTCCTACCATTGAAACTGCCAAAAATGAATGAGGACATTCTAAAAAGCAGTGGAGGAGGCGCTCACGGTATATTCTACAGAAAGTAGAGGCAAGTTATTCAATCTAGACGGACTTATCGAAGAGCAGCAGCACTTTAGATCAAATAGAAATCACCACGCAATTCAATGTACATGATGTTTGCAGTTCCGAACCTCAGGTACTTCGAATACGAAATCTTGCCTGCTTTTTGTTTTTGTTTCTTTTGCTAGGCCTAAGACGAGATTGGAGGTAAAACTCGCACTTTTTCTCGGATTCCTTGAGGAGGCGAAAAAGTGCGTTATTTGATTAATCATAGTTTTTCAGCACTAAAAAACTGGACCATCTTAATGATACTACCAAATGTCCTAGCTCTACATTCTTTAGCTAAAACAAAAGTTACGATCAAGCTTTTTTGCGATGGAAAGGGATAACAAAGTGCAATTTTACGTTAGTGGGTTGAACAATAATTATTTTGAACCTGAGTAAAAGACGTTTAAGATCCCTTACAGCGAAATTACATATCTCAAAAATACAGGTGAAACAACTTTGTGAAAATCCAATCCTACAAGAGAAACTGTGAAACTCAGCGATTGATAATTTCCGACAAGTATTAGATTGTTATATACAGTCATTTTCACGACTATTCTTTTTCTGCATTTAGATGCGCACTAAAGTGTAAGGTCGTTCAGAGAGTAGTGTTGGTTTTTTTGAAAAGTAACCACATCTCGTGGAACAAGGATATGTCAGTGATTTTGATAGCATTTGATGCAGTATTTCATTCTCTTTTTAAAGGTTATATAACCACTGCATAAAATTCAATAACCTCTTAAAAATTTATTAAAATCTGCGACCTATGCTTTTTGGGAAGGCCAAGTTTCACAATTTTCCTAAATTTTTGTAACAACCCTCGAAAGGAATTTTAGCAGGCTCGTCTCAGACACAAATGCATTAAACACCAATAAATCCTCGGAGTTTGAAACTTACAAAGATGGATTATGGTTTGACACTAATTTTGCAAACCAAATAAGCATTCACCGCTTCAAATTAGTAACTTTCGAAAATTCCGATTAGAGCCGGGGTGCCCTGGAAAACCTTAATTATGATGATTTTATCCCGGAAGACTTGATGATTCGAAAACAAAAAACAACTGCTAGAATGAGGAGGAAAGGCTGCGTCGAATGACATTGCTTGCCGGTTGTTGTTCAGTGAGGTTTGGTTGACCGAATATGGGATTTGATGACATTGAAACATTGATCCCAGAAACTGTAACAAGCAAGCTAAGGAAAAGAAGAAAGTTACTGTATGTCCTATAGGGTTTGCACAATCTAACTGTCACTTGTACTTCTTCAGAGAATAGGTACAAAAATAAATAGCCGAACTTGACCATGGGAAAAAGCATGAGTCGCTGATTTTGGTAATTTTTCGAGAGCTCATTGAATAATATGCAATGATACTACAAACTTTAGAAAGAGGATGAAATGTTGCATCGAATGCTTCTAAGAACTTTTAAAAATCTTGATTCCATCGAATGTGGCGTTCATTTGAAAAAAGCGACATTGCTTTCGGAACGGCCTAATATTATGTTGACAACAGTGCGTCACCTTTGCTGCAGATCCTGATTCCATTATTGTAGGCCTTTCTCGTGTTAGCTTTGGGAGAAACTTCTGTGAGAAAGAATAAACGCGGACTTGAAATGGTTACTAAGGAAGGCTTAGTAGGCCTCTTAAAGGCACCGTCCACCCAAACTTTCGACCTCCATGTTTTTGCCGTTCCAGGACCTTCTCATACCCCTGATTCCGAATATCAAGTTGAAAATTCGCGAAAACCACAAAAACCCCTGTTTTCAGAACCCGCAGAGCGATTTTTGAGTAAAACTCCTCTGTTTTCTAGGTAGAACCCTGACCAAGCGACGATAACCCAGCATTCTTATTACTTGCTACGGCATATAATCATCAGCTACAAATCTAGATCAAATCTAGCGATTAGTTTTTTTTGCAGAAAACTGCAACAAAGAAAAAACCAGCATTGTTCGAGCCACTAGATTATTCGAGTTATTCGAATAGTGGATATTCGGACAGGTACGTTTATTCGATTATCAGAATAGTCGAATAAAAAGCAATCCCATTTATTCAAATATTCGTTCATTCGGATTTTATGCAGCTTATTCGAATTCGAATTCGAATAATCTGAAAACCATAGATCAAATAATATCCTTTCATTGAATATTTTACAAAAGCCCATTATTCGATACAGGGCTCGGCACGAGGTGGTTTACAAGCAAGCTGGGTATCGTTTTTGGGACGAAAAGCAAAGGGGGTTTCGTTTTTGTGACCGAAGAGACACGGAAATTGGCGACGGCGACCTTTTTTTTTAGTCGACGTTTCGTTTTTTGGGGGATTTTGGGAAATTTTTCAGGTTTTTAGAGGAAATTTGGTTGAGGGTCAAAGGGGACTTCGTAAAAATTCCCAAAAGTCAAGGGGGACTTCGTTTTTTCCATTTTCATCTAGCCACCTTGTGCCGAGCCCTGATTCGATATTCGTTCGTTCGACGAAATTTTTGGGTCCTTTCAACTATGCTGTACCCGGCTGTCTCACCATAGCTGCAGACATAGATAACATTAGTAAGCACACGTTGCTAGTATGCAACGAGTTGCAAACTAAATAGCAACACAATCACGCTGAATTAAAGTAAGCAAAGACCTGCAAAGCGATATTAGTGCTTAAATAAAGTAAGCAGCGAGTTGCAAAGCTATCACGAAAGAACTTTGAAATAGGTAAGCAGACAGAGGATGGCGTTTTTCTTTAACGAGAAACCAATAGCTTATAGTGCCCGAACATCGTGGCCCTGCTTGAGCTTTCTATGAGTTTTCACCATACGGAATTTAAACGAACAGTTCAACTAACTGAATAATGTTGTAGATTCAATCAGCGGAAGAAAAAAGCCCATAGAACAGAGCAGAGATTTTGGTTGAAAATTGGAAACAGGGTCGATGACCTAAAAATGAAAAGCACTTGCAAAGAACTCGAGGTGAAGTTGAAGTTGACAAAGAAACTCAGTTCAATGAAAATCGCTGCATATGGCATGATGTACGTGCTGGAAGCACGACTGAATGAAGCTCAAAAGAATTTGCCAAGCACCGAAAACGGTGTGAATACATAGTGAAATAGCAATAAAGGTATAAGCAGCGGAGATGAAAGAGATCTCCCCAATGCAAACGAATGTATGTTTGAAGACATGTCAGTAAATACTGCCAGTGTATTAAAAGATCTAATATTTGGACCCTGAAGCTGAAACAGCTCGAGATGCCAATATTCGAGGCGATGAAGAGGAGTTTCCAGAATTTTTAGCTGGAAAACAGCCCAGAATTCCGGGACCCCCTCTTCCAAAACTCGGGCAGCTAGAACCGGTCAAGCTGGATGTCATTTTTGGGAGGGAAAGCAAAGCGTGTATATACAAATTATATTTTTTTGCGGTCTGGACCATGATCTTCCAAATTTGGCACATGCTTTAGAAAGACGACACTAGTTCGAATCGTAATAACCAACTAACCGCCTCAGTGCAGCTTCGTACAAATCAATGCGAAATGGAATGTTCCAACGAAATGGACTATTTTGCCTCATTATATTGCATCTCTAAGATCTTCCACCCGTCGGAATTTTGCGTCAAGGTAATTGTACTATGAAACTGGTGATTCAAGTTTTGTAATAATCCTATCTTTATTGCATATCTCCGACCTGTTATTGTCCCAGTTACATTTTTAATGAAGCTGCCGTTGGAGCACTTTGGATAACCCAGGTGGTACAAATCCCGGCAAAGCTGGGACCGCGTCAAGCTGGATATCGTTTTTCCAAACAAACAAAAGCGTTTGTTATAAATAAAACCCAATAGTATGACACCAAATCTGGTGTGTCCATACGCGTGAGCTCGAACTATGGCTCAAATATTTATAAAAACATATTGAATGAAAGCCGTGCTGAATTTTCTAAACAAATTAGCTGAAACCGTTCCAGCTGTTCAGCAGAACTGGAACGTTCCTTTGCTCACATTATTTTAGCTTACTTTTTCTGCATATATCGTACCTTAACCGTAAAAGTTTTCATGCAACAAAACCTCATAATGTTTCTTTAGGCCTTTTAAAGCCCTCCATATTCATTGTTGATGGTCTGCTGCTGGTGTTCCGATCTCATATCGCACCCCTGAGCAATGGCCTTGGTCATGCTTGCTTTTGTATATCTGTTATCATTCACAGTTGAGGGGAAGATGGCTAGGGTGGGAAAAGGAGAGGGAAAGAGGGAACTGAGAGGGAGGTGTGGAGGGGAGGAGAGAAGTGCTGAACCGGTTCAGGCTCCGACCATGGAGCTGAATGCGTTCGGCACATGATGCGAGAAGTAATAAGAATTTCTTGGACTTTTCCGTCTGCATATTAGTAAAACAGGGAGGCGTTTAGCCTTTCATCTCCTATTCTGGAGTGAGGACAGCACAAACAAAGGGGGGGGGGGGTGATGGGGGATAAAGGTCAAAGGAGACTTTGTAAGAATTTTTCAAAATCAAAGAGGTCTTTGTTTCAAAATTCTCCTGATTCCAACTGATGCCGAGTGCCCGGTAGCTTTGATTTGAAGACCAACTCTAATGGACTTCATCGTGGCTTTGATGAATCATGGGATTCTGTGGAAACTCATGAATTCACGTGCTGCACACAGCCTCGAAGTTAAACAAGAATCATTTAGAGATGAACACTTCAGGAAAAGTTTATCACTCGCTCGATTTGGTACAGTAGCGCACACTTAAGGTTTAACGGGTGGTGCATCTAAAAATTCAAGATAATCGTGTAAACGAGATATGATCGCCTCGACACAAACCCAGTTTTGCTGGCATAGGCTTCATAGGTTTTGGTAAGTGCCTCTTCGGGCCAAAAGGCTTGTTCTCGGGAGATTTTCTCTCTTTTAGTCCCTTTTGCCATCCACGCCTGAAAGGTCTAATCATTTTAGGACCCCTTCTTCTTCCAAATTTTGGTTTCGGAACAAATTGCTGGAAGATGGCCTTCAGAACGTTGTAAACCTGGAAAGATATGGATCACTCGGATTCAGATTCCCGACACACTCACCTTTGGATTCTCCTCTTTCAGCTTGCGGAGAGCTTCAAGTTTTTCCTTGCGGCTCAGTGCCTTGTCGTCCAGGATTGCAGACTGCTTATTCAAAGCTTCGTTCAATTCTTCGATTAGCTTGACCATTTTTTCCCGCACTTCCTTTTTTATTTCCTCTCTTTTCTTCTCGAGTTCCGCCTGAAATGTTATATTTGAGATGAGCATAATCGAGCTCAAGCCTTCATTCAAAACTCGCCTTTTCTTCCTCGCTGAGATTGTCAAATTTTTTGTCAAAAAGTCTTCGTCTTGGTGGCACCATTTTGAATGGCATCCCTGCCTTTCCCGGCTGGAAAATGCACTAGTCTCTTGGTTGAATAGAAGGATCAGCATCTGCACTTGCCTTTTTGATTTCGGGAAGAGCCTGAGGAGGCTGAGGAGTAGGTTCCTCGCAAAGTGCGAAACCGAGTAGGGCGACAAACACGAGAATGGTGTTCATTCTAAAAGCTATTTACTCATAAAACAACTCAATACTACAAATTATATAAGGAATAGAAAGCTGATAAACTGATGGTGTGTGCGATCAGTAGCGGGCTTATATAGGTATTCCAGATCTAAACCCTCACAATTTGAATACCGATGAAAATATATTTGTGAGAAAATGACCCATCAACTACCAGCGAAGACAATCTTGATGCTCGAAATGCTTGGTTTCTCCGACTAGGCCGTGAAATACGCCTGATTTTTCTTTAAAAATTCGATTTTATAGCTGTGATTCCCATTGTCTGTAATTTATTCCTGTAATGCCATAATAAAGCATCGTTGGAAATTGCAAATTTGTCACAGAATCGCACCATATAATTGCATTTCGACGTCGTTTGTATAATTTTGTGGTCAAAAAATGATATGTGATATCTGGTGTTGATCTTAATATAGCATAACATTGAACTAAATGTTATCCCCTTTATCCATCCCACAGTGGTAATCGGGTTGCCCATTTGTAGCTTCGCCAAGTATTTCCTACCATCGAAATTACCAAAAATAAATGAGGGCATTCTAAAAAGCATGGGGGGGGGGGGGCACTGCATATTACATGGAAATAGAGTAAGTAGAGGCAAATTACCAAATTTTCAAATTTTCAATCTAGACGGACTTGTTGAAAGGAGCAGTACTCCAGATAAAATAGAAATCACTACGCAGTCCAATGTACATGATGTTTGCAAAGTTCCAAGCCTTCAAATGCGAAATCTTGTGTGATTTTTGTTTTTTTTGTATTTGATAAAATTACAGACGACTATATTAAAGAAAAAATACTTTCTATATCAACAAAGAGAAAATACTTTTCTGGAAAACACTGAAAAAAATTGGAAGGAACCACTTTTTTGAATTCCTTGAGGAAGCGATAAAGTGCGTTATTTGATGTATCATAGTTTTTCAACACTAAAAACTGGAACATCTTAATGATATTACTGTCCTAGCTCTACATTCTAGTTACAGCGAAAGCTACGATCAGGGTCAAGCAAGGGGTGTGGCACACGATCGCTGGTTACGACCCCCCCCCCCTGATTGCTGTCTTAATAAGACCCCCCCCCCCCTGGATACCCTTAAGATAGCATTACTTGGAGGCCCTGTCAAACATAATGGGCAACATATCCATAATGAACATGTCATTTAACCCCTGTAGACAAAGTTTGAGCGAATTCTGAAGATTCAAGATACTAGGCTACCTAAGTGAAATGGTCAAATTCCAACATGGTTAACTTTGTTTCAAATGTGAATTAGCTATCCGTTTTCGCACTCAAGACAAAGCACTACTCCTTCTTTGTCCACCTCAGGAATCCCGCTTCAGAAGACCTCCAAACTGCGGAATTAGAAGCCAACCAAAATCTCGTTTTTCCCATTTTTCGCTTTTGATCGCTGTGCTTTCACCAAATATTACTCAGAGCTAAGGAGACGAATCAGGCTCCAAACAGTCCTATGGAATCTACAAGGTTTAGGCTATCTATTAATATAAATATTGTCCGCTAAAAATGTTTTGATATAGTTAATGGCCTGCGGCACCCCCCCCCCCTCAAAACCTGCGGCTGCCGCAGGTTTTGAGGGGGGGGGGGGGGTGCCGCAGGCCATTAACTATATAACATTAACTGTATCAAAAAAAACATTTTTAGCGGACAATATTTATATGAATCAGTAGCCTAAAACTCGTAGATTCCATAGGGATGTTTTGAGCCTGATTCGTCTTCTTAGCTCTGAGCAATATTTGGTGAAAGCACAGCGATCAAAAGCGAAAAATTGGAAAAACGAGATTTTGGTTGGCTTCTATTTCAATAGTTTGGAGGTCTTCTGAAGCGGGATTCCTGAGGTGGACAAAGAAGGAGTAGTGCTTTGTATTGAGTGCAAGAAGAGTAGCTTACTCACCGTTAAGATGAAGTTAATCATGTTTTAAATTACTGCTTTATACAAGGTTGTTTACTGCTCGGAGACCTCAGAGTTCGCTGAAACTTGGCGCATAGGGGTTATTCGACACGCAGATTACGACAATTATGCTTGATTAGAGGTACGATAGGTTACGGTAGGCATACGATATCTGCAAGTTTGTGTCGTTGAACTTGAATTTTGCAGGATTTCAACAGCGCTTTCATCAAGTCAATTTAGTCACACAGCTTGTACAAGTGCTTTTGACCTTGGGTCGATACGACCCCCCCCCCCTACCTACCTCCCCCCTAACGACCCCCCCCCCTGCGGCGTGCCGCACCCCCGCTTTACCCTGGCTACGATCAAGGTTCTTTGCGATGCAAAAGGATAACAAGTGAACGTGCAATTTTATGTTAGGTTTTTTTGGTTCTAAAATTTCTGGTCTGTTTTGGAATTTATTTGAAGCAAAACTCATTCGCTATCGCTATACACGTTTTCAAAAATTTCGCACTCCTGTCTTTGAAAAATCTAAAATTGGGTAGCTGAATTTTTTGAAAAAGAAACTTTGGAGCTGGATTTTTTGTTTTTCAAGACACGCTATCTCGAAACAAACTCACTTCTACAAATATGAGAGCATATATAAAAAACTAGAAAAAGGTGTACAAATGAAAGGAAATTTACGAATCTGTGTGAGAAATGTTTGAAGGTTTTGGAAGCTGCACTAATTGTGTCTCAACCGATGGATAAACCAAGGAAACTGCGGATAAACCTGTTTTTTATTTATTCAATGTTTTCAACAAAACGAATCCGAGGGCTTGAAGGCAGAAACTTCCCGAATACCCTGTATTTTTTTTTCTATGTCTCACTACAAACTTTTTCGACAGCTGAAGACAAACTCACAACTCACAACAAACTTGACAATCTTAGCTAGAAATTCTTTTTCTTTAGTCGAACTAAGCCTTTGAAGCGTCAACTGCGTTTCATTGTGAGCAGATTTTGGCTTGCTGGGCAGCAGAATTTGTGATCAGAGATGATCTCTAATAATGTTTGACTGGACTTGAGATCCGCACTGTTCTTTTTGCTAGCCTGACTGCCTCTCCTTTACGACGGATTGAGATTGCCATTTTGTGCGGTTTTGATTAATCTAGTTTTTTATCTCAAGTTCATTTGCAATCAATGTTTAATTCTTGACACTCTTCGGTCTCAAAGAGTCTCTGATCTTTCGAGTAACCTTGAGTGCTTCCAATGGTTTCCAAAATCTGACAAAGCAACCTTGGCATTCAGGCAGTATGGATATTGTATAAACTAAGCAGAGCTAAAGCGGTGAAGTGCTGAAACGTAACGCTAAAAAACGTAACGCTAAACGTAACGTAAATGTAACGCTTGAATTCCTTCCCAATTTACTACCTTTGCTTTGCTTAATCAGTCTAATACTGATAGTCCTGTTTTTACAATATTCTTTAAATTGGAACCGAATATTTATTCAGAATGCTTGCTGATGTTAAATTCCGTTGGAACGCTCGTTCGACTTTCAATCCTCGTTCGGTTTGCGGCCACAGTCTCCTGCAGTCTTCCCGGTTAGCAACTTGCTCCGAACTGCAAATGATGGATTAAGGTCAATTGTACTGATATTGCGTGAAATCATTCTAAGAAGCTATTCCATTTTGCTTGTATTATTAACTAGCTGCGGTCCCCGGTCCCGCCCGGGCCAAGGGTCCAAAATGCCCTGTCTGCTTCAAATGTTTGCTTACCATTCCTCCACTTCCTTCAGGTCATATTTTTTTCTTCCTCTCCTGCTTCAACTCCAAGTTAGTTCCAGCTCACGTGTATTATCCGTGGTGAACATGTCCTTCTTGACCGGCTCGCTTCGTGACACCGCGTCCTCCTCACCGCAAAATGTAAATGATCTCTACCGCCCCTTACTACTTAGTTTGGAAAAAATGAATGATATAGCTTTCATTTTCCTAGATGTTAGTAAACAGACCAATAAATCGATAGAAGGACCCAGTGAATCGTTGCAAAAAGTAGCCTATCTTCTGCGCCTGGCCTCATTTTTAAGGGAGCAAATTTCAGCCTCATCGGTTCACAAACAAAGGAGTCTATAAGCCACATACTTACATACGAACAAATTCACAGAGATTGAGTTTTATTTATATATAGATATAACCAGCGCGTCACCTCTGCTTCGCAGAGGCTCGCACTGGCCCTACTTTTTGTATGCCTTGCTCATTCCCGCATAATAGATTGAAACTTACCGTGCTAAGCAGGCTATCACGAATGAATTGTAAACAACTACTCATTCCGAGATTTTTTTGTGTGAGATCGGTATTTTCGCGTGGATGAAACTTTTCCGAGAAGAATAAATGCAACTTTGAAGCGATTTTCTGGACTTTTTATGGTTTGGTAGTCGCCATAACGACGATGATCACCGTGGGCTACATCTCTGTGCAAAAATCTTCTCGAATAATTAGGTAAAATCTTGACAAATTGAACATTTACGCAACGGATTTTTCTCGGCGCCATTTTCGTAAAGTAATCAACTTTAGTTCAATTTGAGCTAAAGTCCATGGCTTGCACATTAGCTTGTTAATCATATCCATGACTTTGCAAAAAGTGGTGGTACAGGCCCTACTTTGCTGGCTAGAAGCCAAGTGGATCCGTTTGCAGCGCAGTTTTGAGGGATACACTCAATGGATCCTCTCGTGCTTTTGCATAGCGGACTCATGATGCTAGCATGCGCCGTGCAAAATGTGGGCTCAAGAGGTTGGCTGGACCTTGCTGTACGAATTTCGTAACAGACAGACACACATACACACACATACACACAAAAACACGTAAACAACCTTTAGCCCGTTATTATAAGTTATGATAATACTGAGGTTCAATTAACGACTCAGTTATATCACAGTGGTGTCACTTTTGTCCTAAGGCAAATCTCAAGCGATTTCAATCGCCACGCGATTTGGAAATTGCCAGATCTCTTCATAACCAACTGCAGACCACAAATGCTTGGTGTATTCAACTATTGTGAGTTGATAAATGTGCTACTTTCCATGTGCTCAAATTGAGTTTGAGAAGAGTTATAAGCAATTAGGGTGGTGCCAAGTCGCGTCGCGACTGAAATCGCGTGAGGTATGCCCCGGCCTTACGCAGATAAATATAAGTGGTGTGGAATTTTGCATCTCATCCTTTGACATTAACTTTTCCTAACTTATTTCTCTTTATCTTAAGCCTACAAACAGAAAGTGCTATTTGGAACTAAACCCAGATGGCAAAGTTTTTTTGAGACTTATACACAAGAGTGCAGGAACTTTCAGTAACAAGAGTTTGGCAAATGACCAATTCCACAGTTGGCTCAACCGTCATCCTCTTCCGTTTACACCTTAGTTACAAAGAAGCGA